CACACACACACACACACACACACACAACAATAACAACAACAAAAACAACAACAACAACAACAAAAAGAGAAAAAGCCAAAACAAATCAAAAACGTGCCTGAGAATACTCCGGAGCATTCCCCTGTGCATCTTGTTGGAGGCTTTGACCACACTCACCCAGTAGATGGTGGCTGCCAGGAAGAACAGAAGGACTGGGGGAGGGAGGGGGTTAAAATGCAGTTATTGGGTTGGAAAGTAGAGTCGTGATTTACATAAAAACAACAACATCAACAACAGCAGCAGCAACAACAGCAGCAGCAACATCAACAACAGCAACAACAACAGCATCAACAAAAACAACTAAAAACAACCCAAAAAGCGACGGCAGTCTCTATGAAAACATTGTGAGGGAAGGAGAGGGGCGGGGGAAGGAGGAGGAAGAAAGAGAGCGGGCGTGGAGAGAGAGAGAGAGGGAGATAGATAGATAGATATATTATTATAGAGAGAGAGAGAGAGAGAGAGAGAGACGGGGGGGGCGGGCGGGGGAGAGGGGAGATAATCTGAGCTAGCACAGGGAGGAATCATCAACAAAGGACAAGGACGCAAGTAGAGAAGGCAAAAAGAGAGAGAAAAAACACGGGCAGCTGTCTAGTCTATTTATGGAAACAACAGTACGGTGGTAGGAAGGTCACCATCTTCTACACAATACAATTGACGAGGTTCTTCAGTTTTGGTCAAGAGTTTTACGGCACTTGCAACACAAATAGTTCATATAAGTGATGAAGATAAGACGTGTTACTTAGGAGTAATATATACAGAAGAGAGATAAGGACAACAGATGCTTGATAGGAAAGAAAGAGGAGGAGAGATAAGGATGACAGATGCTTGATAGGAAAGAAAGTGGAGGAGAGATAAAGATGACAGATGTTTGGTAGGATAGAAGGAGGAGAGATAAGGATGACAGATGTTTGGTAGGATAGAAGGAGGGGAGATAAGGATGACAGATGTTTGATAGGAAAGAAGGAGGAGAGATAAGGACGATAGATGTTTGATAGGAAGGAAGGAGGAGAGATAAGGACGATAGATGTTTGGTAGGAAAGAAGGAGGAGAGATAAGGACGATAGATGTTTGATAGGAAAGAAGGAGGAGAAATAAGGACGATAGATGTTTGACAGGAAAGAAGGAGCAAACTATTTCTGACTTTGAAGATATTTTCCAGCAGATAGAAAGACAAATTTCTCGCAGTGAGACGAATAAAGATTGTGGCTGTCATTGTCACAACTCACGAGGAAAGGATTCCTATCTGGGGCTTGCTCAGTGTCTATTACAAAGACTAGATGTTTTTCCAACGGGGGTGTTCTAACGCCGCCATCCACAACTGAGGTCATTTAAGGGCTATCGCTACCTTGAAAACCAACTTTTTAAACTGAGAACCTGTGAAGCTAGTACTGGCGTATGTGGTGTATGTTGACAGTACAGGTGTACGTTGACAGTACAGGTGTACGTTGACAGTACAGGTGTACGTTGCAGTACAGGTGTACGTTGACAGTACAGGTGTACGTTGACAGTACAGGTGTATGTTGACAGTACAGGTGTATGTTGACAGTACAGGTGTACGTTGACAGTACAGGTGTATGTTGACAGTACAGGTAGATGTTGATAGTAAACCTACACCTTCAAACAATTCATAAATTCATCAGTTACCATGGAAACGGTGGCCAACTTGAATTTTACTGACAATTTTATTTTCTTAAACATTTCAAAACTAGGTTACCTAGACGATTTTTAAAAGGCACAAGAGAGAGAAGGCATGACAATAGGACTATTAGTCATCTGTCCAGAGGTGTCCCACCGGATTACAATTGGTCGTGTCAATGTGAAGACAATGTGAAGACAATGTGAAGACAATGTGAAGACAATGTGAAGACAAGCTAGCTGGAAAACTTCAGACCTTCTCTCCCTTTTGCCGGGACAAACAATGGTCTAGGCAGCACAGACAAAGGGCACAGTGTGTATCCCAGCATGCAACAAAACTTCATGCAAGACACACACACACACACACACACACCAGTCTCTG